AGCAATGGGAAACTCAAGTGCTGCCAAAGTGTTTGGGGTAGGATGCGTGGACTTGATGTTTCCTTCAGGGCGCATTTTATCTCTACAGAGGGTGCACCATGTCCCAACAATACGGAGAAATATTATTAGTGGTTCTATGTTAGTCCAAGAAGGTTATGAGCTTTCGTTTAAATTGAATAAAGTTGTTATTCAACATTATAATTTATTTATTGGCAAGGGCTATTTGTCTGATGGTCTATTTAAAATTCGTGTTGATCATGCTGGTTCTGGTAATAAATTTGATTTTGCAGATTCTATTGTTATGAATGTTACAGTAAGTTCTTCTGTATGGCATAAGCGTTTGGGTCATTTAAATTATGATTCTATTAAGAGAATGATGAATCTTAATTTAAATCCAAATCATGATGTTGAACGAAATCACAAATGTCAAGTATGTGTTGAAGCAAAGCAAGTAAGAAAGTCTTATCACTTGATAGAAAGGCATTCTGAATTACTTGATTTAGTACACACTGATATTTGTGAGTTCAATGGAATTGTTACTAAAGACCTGAAAAGATACTTTATCACCTTTATAGATGATTATAGTAAGTATTGTTATGTTTATTTAATTAAACATAAAGATGAAGCACTTGAGAATTTATTATTTTTAAGAATGAAGCTGAAACACAAACTGGTAAGAAACTTAAAAGGTTAAGATCAGACAGAGGTGGAGAATATGAATCTAACCCCTTTGGTGAATATTGTCGAAATTTTGGCATAATTCATGAAGAAACTCCTCCTTATTCTCCTCAGTCTAATGGGGTTGCAGAACGGAAAAATAGAACATTTAAAGATATGATCAATAGTCTTTTGTTGAATTCTGGATTGCCTAAGTATATGTGGGGAGAGGCTTTGAATACGGCTTGCCATATTCTGAATAGAGTCCCTCTAAAACACAATGAAATAACTCCATTTGAATCATGGAAAGGTAGGAAACCTAGCTTAAAGTACTTTCGTGTGTGGGGCTGTCTTGCAAAAGTTCTAGTACCTGAGCACAAAAGGAAAAAGCTAGGACCTAAAACTATTGATGCGGTCTTTTTGGGATATGTGGAAACTAGCTATGCTCTTAGATTTTTGGTTGTTAAATCAGAAATTATTGGCATAGATGTAAACACAATTGTTGAACTTCGTGATGCTACATTCTTTGAGGATGTTTTTCCTATGAAAACGAGAATACCCCAAAATGATGTCTTGGATGCAGCCCTTACATCATCATCAATTCCTGAACATGTGGAAAAGATGACAAATATGGGGGGTAATCTAAGTGGTTTGGATTCTTTACAAACAGAATTGGATGAACCTAGACGGAGTAAACGAGTTAGGATCGTTAAGGATTTTGGAAGTGATTTTATCACTTATATTATCGAGGACGAGCCAATAACTTTCAAAGATGCTATGACTTCACCAGAAGCTAAGC